ACGAAAGAAATGTTAACAAAAACGCTTTAGTTAGTGAAATACACCCTTCCCCAATAATATCATTCCTTAATTGGGTGATATTGTTCACAAGAGAAGGAAAAAAGTTCGATGACACGAATAGTTTTCTCGCTTTTCTTTTTAAAAGATTACGAAAGATGTTGATATTATGAGATTTTTGTCTCTAATACTAAGGAAAAAAGCTTTGCATGCTCATACTTTTTCTAATGTTGGACCGAGGTCGATCACTTTTATGATGAGGAGATCAAGCGTTTTAAACTTTTTGGATGTGAGTCAAGTGAGCAAATAATAACAATAGTAGGAATTAAATATAAATAATTAAAAGGGATTGTGCATAAGTACCACATGAACTTGTAAGTATGTGCGCCAATACCGCTTGCACTTTTAATTTTTACCACTTGACTCTTTTAATTGATAGAATCTGCTAGCTATGTTATTTTCATCCGTTTTACCGTTAAAACATGTCACGTGCCCCTTACGTGGAGGAATATTTTTGTCAATTCACTTTCTAGCGCTCACTGGAATCAATTTGTACAAAGGCAAAAGGCTTTTTTTTGTGTGGTGGCAGTGGAGATAGGTCATGAAGAGAAAGAGAGAAGTTGATTTTGGTTTTGGTTTTGGTTTTGGCAAGGGTTGTTGAAGAATTGAAGTGAAAATTGATTGCTGACATCTACCTTGACATTAAGTGAAGAGGAATGGAGGATAATGAGTTCAGATTTATTGGGCAAACGCCAAATTATGGTAAACATTGAATGTCAAAAATATCCCTCCACACATGAGGGGCACGCGACATATTTTAAAAGAAAAATTGATTGAAAGTAACGTAGGTGGTAGATTTCAATAGTTAAGAGAGTCCAATGGTAAAATGTAAAAATTGAAAATTCATGAAGAATTATCGCACATGCTTACAAGGTCAAGTGGTACACACGCAAAATCCCTAATTAAAATCACGACTTTGATTTCTCTAAAAAGTAATTGAAATCTAGAGCATTGCCGCGATCGTGTATGTTGATAGTCGTTGATGGATGTTATCTTTGTAGGGCTTACATTAATATTCGTTAATTGATGGATACTATCTTGGTAGGGTTTACGTTAATAGTCGTTAATTGATGAATGTAATCCTTGTAGGGTTTACGTTCTTCTTTTAACGATAATTAGGCAAGCTCAAAAAAATCCCGATTGCAAAAGTTCATAATAAAAGGTGGAGGAAAATCGCACCAGACCAAATCCGAAACAGAAACATCATTGATAGCCAAAGCGGCTGCAACTTGGTTACCTTCAGGAAAGATATGAGAGATTTGAAACTGCATTTGAGACAAACAAAACAAACAATTTTTCTCCACTCCACCTTAAACCGTCAGGGCACCAGATTAGGCGAGCAAAAAAAAATTCAAAATCAACATGGAATCAACCTCAATACATACATGTTTCCGATCATGAAGCCACGCTAGCTCTATGGCTTTGATAACAGCCATAACCTCTGGTGCCACAGAGCTAGGAATATCAAGATTAGCACAAAAAGCATCCAGCATTGTACCTTGAAAATCCCTAAAGACCCCTCCATAACCAGCACACCGTACCTGAGGAACCCTTAAGGGCACCATCAGTATTCATCAGTATAATTTTAATACAACCGAAAGGAGGTGAATGCCAAAGAACCTCTACAGTTTTTGGGCTGCGACGAACTTTATTACAAGCGCCGAAGCTGTGAATTATACGGAGATCAATTACAGAATAAGTATAACCGGAAGCAAGGCGGTTGGATCGCTGAGTACATAAACACAAATCCACTTACCAGCAATTTCAACACCTTTCTTATTTGGATTTTCTCGTTTAACTTATTGGCTTTTCATCATGCAAATGTTGCACAATTATATCTGCATTGTTTACTTTCTATTTAGCTCACCTTTTAAAAATCATTTCTACAAAAATAAATAAAAAATAAATCGTTTATACATCATTTAATAAATAAACGAATTATATTTCTCAGTTAAAATACAAAAATTTCAAAAACATTAATTAAACGGTTAAAAGGTTTCTAATTAATTTGGTTGATTATTTTCTCTACAGTAATATTTAAATAGTGAAAAAAATGAATAAATTAAATAAAAATGTACGAGTGAAAGATTGCTAACATCTCCTTAAAATTTACTTTATTTAATAGTTTTCACTCATCCATGCATGAACATGCTCGACACTATTAAAATCTTTCAAATTCACTATCCTTATCAATTCTTTTAAGAATAACATATTATATGTTTCTAACCAACTAAAATAAGCATGTTTTGAGTTCGATTATTGACGTTGGTGAATCACACGATGGTGGTTAGAAAAAGATCGAAATGTCTTTGTAAGTTTTGTCAGCCTCCGAAAGAATGAACTACCATGATAAGACCACCAACTAGTCTCTTTCTTGAAAAATAAACCCAACCAAAATAAGCCTCGGATCAAATATGGAACCTTTGAGCCATGTGAAAGGTATTCGATTTGAGTAACTTGTTTTCACCATTGTGGACTCGTTGACTAGATCAAATCAAATAGCTCATATCTAGCAAAATGCTTTTAAGTGATATGGATTATGGAAGATTGAAGGATCCATATTTCTTACCTGTAATCATGAAATATAATCATGGGTTGGCAAGGTAATTTTCTTGAAAAGTTACAAATCGTGGGTACCACGTTTATTTCTTAAATCTTTATTTTCTTCTTCTGACCTACCTACCAGCCCATATGTTGTTCAAATTTTCCTTTCTTCCCCTAATAACCTTTTTGCTTTGACATTTTGAGCCGACCACATTATAAGTGAAAGCAATAGCTAGCCATGATTATACTACATATCGTTTTCGTGATTTTGAATTCATTATAACTTACATATAAACCAAGCTCGTGTGGCTGTATTGTCATATCATATAAATTCATGATTGGTGGTGATATTTACACATCATTTTTTATCTTTCACACACTCTTTTTATTTTTCGGTTATCGAATGAATTAAAGAAAATTAAAGAACGGAAATTAATATAACGTGTGTTGATAGCACCACCTTTCATGATATTGATATGTAACTGCTTTTTCATTTTTTTTATGAACATTTGAATAATCGAGAAAGAGAAATATATGCGCCTTAAAATTGATTCTTATATATTAGGTTGTAGAAAAACTTAAAAACACTTACATATTGAAGAATGGTTTGTGCAGAGGCGTCTGCTATGTGCTTCTTGAGAACACAATTCTAAGAAGTACTAAAAAAATTTAATTCATTTTTTAACATATTTATAAGCGTCATTTAGTAAAAGCGCTTTTAAATAGAAGTACTTCCTACAAAAGCAATTTCAAATATGCCTTATTTGTTATTATTTCTCTTAAAACAAAGGATATGGTGGTAATCCCCTGCGTTTTTATTTGTAATGCCGCAAAAAGAATAAAAAGACCAATATGTATTTATCTACTACAAGCCTACAAAGGGTGCAGCTGCTCCTATATTCTTGGCAACAAAAGCTGCTGCAGATGTTGCCCTGTAAAAATTGCAGCTGCTCTGCCTGTAAGAAGCAAATGTGGGGCAGGAACTGACATTTTCAATTTAGATCAATGAAGTTGGAGGGAATGTGTAAATCTTGCAAACGTTAGCAGCCAAATTCAGCAGTAAGTTGGTGTTAAAAAATGGTTTATTGCATCTTTCCAAAAAAACAAAAAAAAAACGGTTTATTGCATTTGACCATTAGGTGGTATTGTACTATTGTGTATTGTGTTTAACAATGACATTACGTGGTATTTGAATGATAACAGAAAGAGTTGTGCTATGATCACTCACCTATGTAAACGTTCACAAAATCAAAAACTAAAAGTTTCTGTTTGGTTTTTCAACCTCCACTCTTTTGTATTTGATCTCTGTTTCTTTCATGGTATCATAATGGTATCATAATTTTGAGTGACACGGCTATTTGGTTGTTTGGTATGGATTCAACTATTTCAATAAATTGGAGTGCTATTTGGCTACTATTTGGTGATCTTTTAGTAAACGAACCTGACTTATTAAATCGGACAACAGTCTAACATATCGTGTCTCAAAATAAGACTTTACAAAACCTGTTGAGGCTGAATTAGAATTTTTGTCCATCACACTGCCAAACAAACTAGTGAAGAGGCCAATTGCTTTTGGCCATACCTAAGTTTGAGCCGAAAAGGGATTCCCTCCTGATTCCTTCCACCAAATCCTTCCCATTAAACAATTCGGGCCCTTGAAATTTAATCCAACGGTTAAAGTTATTATAACTTTTAAAGTTGACCTCTATTTTTAACCGTTTGATCAAATTTCAGAAGCCCGAAGTAGTTGATAAGGAGGATTTGTCGGATCCCTTTTCGTTCGAGCCTCGTTCAGACTGAGTGGGTTTCTTCGTATCACATCACGATTCACTTCTGCATTGGGCTGGACCGACCCATAATCATCGTTGAAAAACCAAACGATTATCCTCTGAAAATCAGGGATGGCCTGATACCGGGTCTTGTATTGTCAGTCGACTCGGCTCGATCCATTTACAGTGCTGGGTCGGCCTATGTACCTAATTACGTGTAGCAATTTGAACCACATTATCTGTATCTGGTTCGAGTTAGCATTAGTCCACAACATGACCCATGAAACGTAAGGAAATTATCAGCCCAACCCTTCTGACTTGGACCAGCCCAAGAATTCATCGAGGAAGGGAAAGGCCAATTGACTAACCTTGGCGGGTATTGCAACTTCCAAGAAATTTCTGGGGCACAGAAATCAACAGGATAATCTGCTGCCAAATTGGTGACGACCAGTGAGCCTCTTCAGGGCTGATGGCAGCTTGTTTTTTACTCTCTTTTAACTATTTTTATTTTTATAATTACTTTTATAAAAGGAGAATGAAAGACTTGACCTTGTGAGTTGTAAGCAAACATAGAAAAAGAGGAGGAATAAACACTGTCATCTCATTCTCTCTTCTGGGTAAGCTTCAATTTCCTGTTTTCTACTTTCCTTGTGTAAATTTGTCTGTGTTCGGAGGTTGGTGAAGATAATATTTTCATGTTGAAAGCGTGTGAAAATAAGATGTTACGACGAGTGATTAATTTGAAATACCGTTATCGTGGCATCTTGGATTTAGATAAGTTTATGTGGCATTAGGTATTGATAAATAAGTTTGTGTTTATATCTATATTTAAAAAGTGATTTTCGTACTCTTATTTTCTTCCCGACACTCCTCCCTAGAATCAATGGACAAAGAGAAGGAGAGGAGTGCAGACGAGAAACTTGGGAGTGGGGAAAACTACCATTTAGCATCTTCTCAGTTGCTACTGATTAATTCGTTGTATAATTAGATGAGTTCTTATGGATTAGAGATGTTAGTGGCTTCTCTGTTATATTTTATATGAAACCCTCATGTTTTATTAAAATTTTGTGAATTTATGCCTCTAGCTATTAACTTGATGAAATTATTCATCCCTGTTTGCTGCTCTTTCCTTTTGCTAATTAAGACTGTTTAATCTCCTGCTGCTCTTTCAACTTTTGGAACATGTAGGAAGATTTAAGCTTGGCCTCATTAGCTTTCTCTAGATTTCCATATGAAGATCGGGGTTTTCGCCTTCGATTAGTTTAATTTGTGCTGTGCTATCATTGATCCATACTTTGGAAAAGACATAATTTTAGGCACCGATGTTTGTGATGGTCACTGTATCCCTCGTGAATCCAAATTTGCATGTATGGGTAGAGAATTGCTGAATTTCTTAAAACCTGAGTGTTCTTTGGTGACATTGCGCACACATTTGTGCACAAAGAAAGTTCTCTGTCTCTGGCCCGGTGGTAGTCCTTTCCTTTTGTTTGAGGCGGCTTAGCTGCGCGCTGAAATCAGGCTCTGATACCAATTGTTAACAGGTCATGAGTAGAACTTGCCCCAAAAATCCGGCTTGTAAAGGAAGGGTGTCCAGGAGCTCGTAAACCACTCCAAGATACACTATTTTTCAGATTGTGGGATGAATTGTCCTACCAAAGTGTGTCCTAATATGTTTTCTCACTTATTTGGTTACATGGAATGCAAATATGGTGGTCAGTCGATGAATTTACGAGCTAGTAGGCCAGTAACATGCACAATGCTGCTCATACATTTATCTAAAACTCCGGTTCTTTCCCTCTATTTTCTCAAGTGTAGTAGCATTCTAGGAATCTGTAACTGCGACGAGAAGTTATTGTTAGTTGTTTTGCTTGAGCTTATTCTTAGGTAGTTTTTATGTGCATTACCACTTTTTGATGATATGCAGACTGTACGCATCTGCAGGCGAAATATGGCCACCTTAGCAACTGCTGAAATTTGTGATACGAATACAACTCTTGTGGGAAGCGGAGGTTTGCGTGTGCTGCCACCAATTTTCCAGGTATACGGACAATCCCGAGCATTCTCAGGCCCCATTACGACACTCAAGGTGTTCGAGGACAATGTCTTGGTCAGACAGCTTCTCGAAACCAAAGGCGAGGGAAGAGTTTTGGTCATTGACGGAGGAGGAAGCATGAGATGTGCTTTGGTTGGAGGGAACTTGGGACAGTTGGCCCAAAACATGGGATGGGCAGGTATTGTGGTGAATGGCTGCATTAGAGATGTAGATGAGATCAATGAGTGTGATATTGGGGTGAGGGCTTTGGCATCTCATCCGATGAAATCGAACAAAAAGGGCGTCGGAGAAAAGCATGTTCCGATCAACATAGCCGGAACCTTGATTCGTGAAGGTGAATGGTTGTATGCAGATAACGATGGCGTCCTTATTTCAACATCTGAATTGTCTGTTTGAATCAGCATTGTTGCTTCACATTTTAAGCTTGTCCTACCAATGAGAGGATTGAGTTCCCAAATTCAGTTCTACTTGGAATTTGTTGTTTCACTACTAGTTACTCTATCAAAGTTCAAGTTACCCTTGCCATTAATTTTTATTTTTTTATTTTTATTTTTTGTAATGAAAAATTTAGGGGGAGATTGGTTATTCTGATCATCAGCGCAAGGGCATATCCACAAACTCGAACTGAAAGAACTTACGCCTAATATTTGCCATTAATTTTTTTAATAACAATATTAAGGGTTAGCGATTAAGGTTAAACTACATAATAAGTTAGCCACATCTACATATCTAACTCAACAAAGTATTAAACCGTCAACCTAAAACTTGAGTAGGAATACCAAAGTTTAAGTACTGCATTGATCGGTTTGAAGGTTAACGACAAAAATTCTAATTGGAATTCTTGAGGTTAAGGAGGAGTTCCACCTTAGCATACTTTGTCATCTATTTATAGAACTTCGTATTTAAGATCAGATTGCTTATATTACAAATCATTCTGTACAGATCATCTCTACAAAAAATAATTAAATTTAAGACCATTTAATCAATCTATCGTAACACATAAATAAACAGCTTGTAATGCATTCACCAAATCCATCAATTTATTTTTATATAATTCGATAACTAAACAATCTTAATTTTAATTCGATTTTTTATAAAGACGTAATGATATATATTCTAAACATAAGATTCTGTAAATACGGCGTGACTCTTCTAAAGATGAGTTTCCTCAATTTTTGAGAAGCCAGTCGCGCCACGGAAAAGCCCAACCGTGAGAGCGCATTTCCCAGAACTCGTCCTTTGTTTACACAAAAAACTCGAAACGACCGAGCAACAGGAGATCGGAGAAGAAGGAGCAGAAGAAGAAGAAGAGACTCGAAGAAGAAGAAGAAAGGAAGATGGGTTTGGAGAGACTGCACAGATGCGTATTAATAAAGGAGATTCTTCTCAAGCTGAACATCGAATCTCTTTCCTCGCTTGCTTGCGTCAGCAAAGCCATGAACTTCTCAGTCTCTCAGGCCCTTCCCTTTGTCTCCTCTCTCGATCTCTCTGTACAATTCTCTCACTTTCTGAATTTTGGTTGAAATTATTATCTGGGTTTTGTTTTTGGAACTGAAATTTGTTGAAAAGATGGAAAATTTGAAATTATTTTTGTATTTGCAGGCATTTTATCCGGATGCACAGACTTTGAGTGGCATTGTTGGTGGCTGCACAGGCCTCATCAGCCTCACCATTAACTGCCTCCGCCTCGAAAATTCGGCAATCAGAAATGTTCTGGGGCCACGTATCCAAGAACTGAATTTGTTGAGCTGCTCTATGCTGTCCTATCAAGTCTTTGCTTCCATTGGACAGGCCTGCCCTAATCTGAGGTACCCGAATTTTTTATTTTTGTCACCGCACTACATTGTGTTACTAATTCACATGTTATAATCATGAAAGACTGCATCTTGATGTTTTTTGTAATGGGAAGTTTTTGTTTGTGTGGTTAGGGTGCTTATGCTAGAATTGGTAGATTCGGATAAAGAACTTAAGTTTTACCTGGACTGCATGCTTAATGGATGCTTGTGCTTGGAGTCTTTATCTCTTAAGATTCGAGGGAGAGATTTCGATTCAACTGCTTTTCAGTCCATTGATTTCGTCCTACCTAGTACTCTTAAAAGCATGAAGTTGCAGTCGGTGCTTGAGCATGACGCGATTCGTCTAGTTGATCAAAGTAGAGTTGGTGCTGGCAGGAATAATGTGCAAAGAGCTCATATCAGCTTTCCCATCTCTCCATTGTCATCTGGATTGACATTGCAGCGCTTGTCCCTCGTCTTGGATGTTATATCTGATCAGCTAATCATTGCCATTGCCCGCAGTCTTTCCCATTTGGTAGAGCTAGATCTTGAAGACAGACCACATATGGAACCACTTCCGAACCTCGACTTGACAAACACCGGGCTTCAATATGTGGCATCTTGTCATCATTTGATTGGATTGTCACTTGTACGAAGGAGACAAAACTACCAAATTTCGTTCAAAAGAGTAACTGATGTGGGCATGTTTCTTCTTTCTGAGGGCTGCAAACGTCTACAGTCAGTGAGACTCTGTGGGTTCTCCAAAGTCAGTGACGCAGGCTATACATCGATCTTACAATCATGTCTGAACTTGAAGAAATTTGAAGCTCGAAATGCCTTCCAATTGTCAGACTTGGCCTTTCTTAATGTTAATGAGTTCCCATGTTCCCTTGTTGAGGTAAAATTGCTGTCGTGTAGTTTTATAACCAGTGAAGCTGTGAAGCAGCTGACCTGTTCCAGCGCCTTGGAGGTGCTTGACCTCCGTGGCTGTAAGAGCATAGCAGATTCCTGCTTCAGTTCCATCTCATGTCTGCGTAGCTTAACCACGCTGAATCTCACAGGTAGCTGATATCACTGATTACGGCTTGTCTGTTCTTGGCCAGGGGACTCCACCCATTACTCATTTGTGTCTCAGATACTGTACGAGGGTGACCGACGAAGGAGTTTCTCTTTTATTCGATGGTGGAGGCACAATTGGAAAAACTTTGTCGTCCCTGGATTTAGGATATATCCCGAAGATATCAGATAAAGCCGTTCTTACAATTGCCATGGTCGGTACAGAGATTACAGAGTTGTGTTTAAGATATTGCCTCTCTGTGACTGATTCTTCCCTGGAAGTTTTGGCTACAAGGAAAAGGTTCCGGGACGAATGCAAACCACTTCGGAGGCTGGACCTTACAAGTTGCAGTGGTTTGTCTATTGATTCATTGGTGTTGCTGAAGAGGCCTTCCTTCGCCGGACTACACTGGCTTGGTATTGGGAATACTTCTCTGTCTAGCAAAGGATACGGAGCTCTAAGTGATATTTGTAACCAAAAGCCATGGCTGAAGATATGTCTGGAATGCTGTGAAATGGGATGTTATGATGGATGGCAATTCCATTGAGGGAAATAGATATCCTCTATGAAACTCCCCTTTTATCGAAAGTTATTTCTCTGTCGAAGTACCAAGCAACAAAGCCATTGACGAGATAAAGATGGCGGCCTAATCTGCACTAGCTGCTATCACGAGTTGAAAATAGAGAGCGTGCTGAACAGAAGAGGTACAAATTACATTCTTGGCTTGCAACAATCAGTTAATAAAACCTATGTTTGAAATTAATGATAGTTTAGTAATGTTATCCAAGGCATGTGGCGAAGGAAACTAATTGACAATAGAGGGAGTCGTTCAACTCCTTAGAAGTCCATACAAGGTTTCTTAATTCACAAAACAATTTCGGAATTGTGTCGAAGATGTTGCTTCTATGTGACTAATTCCTCTCACTTTCCACTCTCTCTCTCTCTCTCTCTCTCTCTCTCTAAAGAATTCAATCCAAGATGTTGACGTGATTTAATCGTGGCCGTTCAAATATTTATGTGACGTTGATGCCACGAGGGTACCTGACATAATCGAAAATGCAACATTTGTGTTGTTTTGGGGGGGGGGGGGGGGGTCGAGGTCTCTACAACTCTTCGATATCAGACATTCTTCATGAAAAGATCTAAGATGTTGACGTAGCTTAATTGTGATTATTCAAATGTTTATGTGGTGCTGATGGCACGAGGGTACCTAACATAATCGAACATGCAACATTGTGGGGGGTCATTTTAACTTACAACTCTTCAATATCAGACATTCTCCACGAAAAGATCCGTAATGCAGTCGTATAACAAGTGATGGTTCCGATCACACTCATACATGTCTTCAACAGACATTTTTGTCCCGTTTGGTAATTTAGAAGCAGGTACAGAATCTCTACAGGGCCAATAATCCCTGAACGACGCAACAATATATGCAATATTGCACACTAGGGTCCCGAGGTGGGACTCTCTACTCACATTCTTACACGCCCACTCACGAACATTAAGAAAGGCAAAGTCCAACAAGCAAGGGTACCTATATAGCAATTCCTAGTATTCCCTTATTTGGATGATAATAAAAAGAATAAAAGAATAAATCGTTCTTATTATAGCATTTATACGGTGAAATAATGTTAAGGTGTGTGAAAGAAATGAAGAATGCAGAAGAGTGAAGGACCTTTTTTTTTTTTTTTTTTTTGATTGAAAGAAAATAGTTATCAAACGGCCTCTGTGCGTGTGTGTGTGCCTAAAATAAAATACTAAAGGGCGCCCTAGAGATAGAGAGACTGAAATTTATTTTCTTTCCGAATTATCAAGGTCCGAGTAATATTTCAATTTCTACACTTCCATGTGCTATGCATTATGCAGTCAAACAAATCCAGCAGCACCCAAAAAGCTCTCAAAGAAACTAAAGACTGCTGTATATTATGGCAAAGCAGCTTTCAGAAATATGCAGTCCGTCCACCTCTTCGACTGTGCCTATCATATGCAGTGTTGAACTTGTCGACTAGCTCATTCGTTGTACTGAGGGGAAAAAAAAAAAAACAAGAGTGAACTTGTCAAAATATTGTAGTAAACGATCGTTGAAAGGAAATTACGATGCCATATTCAGGTACTGAAGGGTACAGTGCTACTGTAGGAATGCAAACTTGGTAATTGCATTAGTATCGACTGAGATCCTAATTATGAACGTAATTAGTATATTCAACCTTATGAAAACACCCGCATTATAAACAAGTTTAGTCTAGGAGTAAGAACAATATTTGCGACCGCACATCAAAGACTTATCTTATATAATTCAGGACACCGCCTGTCAGCATTTGTTGACAAAAGCTTGTAAAACGGCACCCATTGCCAAACCCTACAATCATTCAGGGCAGAAAGTACTAGCAATTGCTAGATAGGTACTCTCGCGTTTCAAAGTCATTGGCATAGAAAAAGTTTATGGTTACATTCTATGTTTATATTTCCTTTTGGTGCAACAACTTTTTTAGATGACTTCAATTGTAATAAAATAATCGACATTGAAAAGTTTCATTCAGTTCGTAAGAATCACATGCAAGGGAAAACATATTAGTGCAAGAAATGCAACATCTCATACCTTGAGCAGTTGGTCAGCACAGCCAAATATGTAATCAACAAAGTGTCATTGTATTCCTACCAAAAATAAAAAAAGAGTCAGCAACAAGAGTGATTCGCGGGATAAATATGTCAGCTTAATCAGGAGCCAGTATCCACAATCATACATTGTGTAAATCGTGAAAGAGAGGAAAAATCTCGACAAAGAGGCCTTATTCACAGGTATGGATTAGACAATCTTTTAATTCAAACAAACGACAAGATAAAATTGATCATTGGAACTATGAATCGTAAATAAAGAGCTTTTTTGAACCATAAAGCTTAAACAAGGAGCTCTACTGAATACAGCTCTTACGAATAGTTTATTCTGATGAAACACATCAAACTAGGTAGAAGTACGACCAAATCTTTTACCATTTGCCCAATACCATCCAAAATTATTATGCCATCTTCCCATTTTTAACTAAGGCTTATTTCTCTAATATTACAATTAAGTGCATGCTTCTACCAGTGAATTCACAATTCAAACAAAGTAACACTCACCATCAAAAAATCATCTTGAAATTTCCCCGATTCTATGGCAGGCAACCTTCTCAGAAGACTTGATACTTGTCTTAAAAGTGAATTTTCACAAGGTATATCACCTGCAGGTAGAGAAACAAGAGCAATTAGTATGACTTCTGGACCCTTCTAAAACATGGCTCCCGGCATTATGTATACAAAATCGCCAACACAAAAGCAAAGACTTGCAATTATAGTTATACGAAAGGTATATGCATACCTTTCTGCATAGCAAGAAGATAGTGATGAAGCACTCTAATTCTGCTATTTAGCATCTTGATGGCACTGTGAATTCCGGTAAGATGAGCAGCCACTGCACACAACCCAGGTTGTATTAATTGGATCAGAAATAGATGCTTATCTTTTGGGGGGAAGAATCATTGTGAGATAAGCAATGTGATCAACTGAGGACTCACATTGAGTTGCTGCTGAACCTCCATCAGATGGTTTAAGATGGGCAACATGGTCAACTGAAATGCGCTCAGCTTCCACAGTCTATGAAGCGGACAGACAAAAAAATGTTTTAGTCAACTCTAGTTGATAATAACAAATGCTTTTATAGTAGATATGATTAATAAGCCTAACCTCAATAGTATAGCTTGAACTGACGAAGATTAGCTGTGGAATCCCGTCAATGACATGCATCTCTACAGTTGTAATATCAACATTCATAAGACCACAAATAGTTAAACAGATAACATGATAACTACATTAAATGATTCTAATAGGAACCAAGAAACTGTCTAAATTCCACAAGTTTTCCATAAGATAGGAATCTAGGCGAATAGAAACATAATAAGCAAGCCCCATCATTTACAAATATTGATACGATAAAAGATCATTGCATGATGGATTTCACTTAGGACCACGATTTCATATGATTAATAAGTGTTGCAAGAACTAGTAATTGTACAACAGAAGGCAACGACAAAAAAAAAAACACTACCAATCTTAATTAAAAATGAGAAAATGGCAGCAAGCAATAGATAATGTTGTAGTACAACACTAACAATGTGGGTTTTTTTTTTTTTTTTTTTTTTTTTTTCTTCTTCTCCGGAAAACTAGTCAAATGGATATTCTCATCATGTTAAGAAGCTTAAACAACCGCATGCGGCTCATTTCAAAATGACCAACCCTGAATAACAGATAAGTTTATTTGACAAACTTATGTATGAGAGAGCAAAGAAAGAACTGGAACCGGCACTAGAGCCCTTTTAGTTTGTCAAGGATTACTTCCGAAGAAACACCAAAAATGGCCGAAATCCAATACAGTATCTCAAGCAAACTCCAACCAACCAGGTCAAACCAAAATAAGCTTTAACAATCATGGTATATAGTATATACAAGAAAGAGAAATAACTACATGCATATGCCATGATAAAAACAGACGCTTCAGCCATGGAGGCACCAGATAGCATTGACATTCACAGAATAGGAAAGCATAAGTTTACAATTAACTGGAATTGCCCACAAAATCTTACATACACACGTACCGCTTTCATAAATAGTGATTGGGAGATCCTTTTGAGCAGCATTGATCAAGGGGTTGAGAAGAACATAAACAGGGCTTTCATTGATATCCATCAACTGTGGCAATAGAAATACACATTCTTATCATGGGAAAACCAAATGCACCATAACCATATCACCGAAAAACTAGAACACAACGGTTACAACTATACAAGTTTAATTAGTTAAACTTTGGTCATAGATTTTCAAATTCAAGAATCATTAACGGGTTCATAGTCAACATGATTTGGTCCCTAACAGAACATTATCACATAATGCAGTATCTACGGGTTCAAATAAATATAAATTACAAATTGTGGATAAAATAAGAAAAGAGCAGAAAAAAATTACAGCTTTGTGGATGTTCATGTCAGATTCCTGAGCATCTGTTCCAGTGGAGTACCACCCCAGTATGTAAAAGTTTGGAAACACCTTCTTATCTGCAAAACCAAAATACTGCCACTGATTAAAACCCTAAATCCACACAAAAAAATTAAGAAAAAAAAATTAAAAGCCATGAGAAACGAGAACGCACAGAGCTCTTGCTTCTTCTCGAGGAAGGCACGGTCGAGGGAGTGAGTCTCGGGATCATAGAGGAGCTCGAAGCTGTTGAAGATCTCGACCGTGCGGCCTCTCTGAACCCCGATAACGCAGCCGAAGACGCGCGGAGACGAGGCGGAGGCGGTGGAGGAGGAGGAAGAAGAGGAGGCTGCTGCTGCTGCTTCTACTGCTCCTTCGGAGCCGTTGTTGGGCGGTGGTGTTGGAGTGTTGGTGATCGGCGGGTGCATCTGGGACTTAACCCTAGAGTAGTGATCGGAGATGTTGACGATCACCAGTGGATGGAGCTTGAACGTCAGCCCGCTGCTGGAGGATTCCGCCATTTTTTCCGATTTCGCGATTTGGTGGTTTTGGTATTTTGCTCTTCGGAGCTCCGGCTTGGGTTTTGTTTTGCTCTTCTTTCCCCACTTTTTTTTTTTTTTTTTTTTTTTTGGTAATTGTGATTTCATTGTGTTTTAATTTCCGAGTGACTCGCTCAGCTCGTTGCAGGGGTTTGGGCCTGAATATAGTGGGCTTTGAAACGATGTTATGGCATCTGTGCAAGCCCATAAATATAAGCCCAACTAACCGAAGAATCTTTTTTTAGGGATGTGATATCCACACATCCCTTTTTACTTTTTCCATTTTTTTTTGGTTTTCCACCGTTGGATCGGATGAATTGAAGAAGATCAACAGATAGAAATTAACAAGGGGTGTGTGAGAAGTAAAAAGAAATATGTGGATAGCACACCCTATTTTTATCACTTCTGTCCAAGTTTAATAAAAAAGCAAGTGATTTTTTTAATCCATAAACATTTTTTTAATTAAAACTAGTTAAAAACTCTTTTTTAGTAGTTTAAAAACGCTTTTAGTTAAACTATTTTTAAATAATTTTAAGAGCCATTTTGATATAAATGTCTTGTTTCTTATTTCTTAAATTAATATTTATTTATTTTAAGAATTTAATTAAACGTTTGTCCCCTAGAAGTTCAAATTTTCAACTTCTTTTTTGTACATTTTTTTTCAAGAAATTGTTTTCTACTCATGTATTGTACCGATTTGTATTCTTGTCATAAGTAAAAAAATTTCCAAATCTCATACAATTTTGTTGTTCAAACTCGTTTGAAAGTACTTTTAAAATAATTAAAAACACTTTCAGTGAAAATATTTTCAAAACCAATCCTTAGTAAAAATTTAAGTAGATCCTGAAAAATCACTTTAAACTGCACAATCAATTTCACCAAAAGTCATTTCATCATTTTAAAAGTTCATCTAAACGAGTAATTAATTAACACACCAACTATAATTTTTATGACAAAATTAGAACATTTTACACTTTTTAGTGAGAAAGTTTTAGTCAATTTTTATTTTTTTTTAAAGATGATTATGACGTAATCGGTTAAGAATATCCATCTTTATAATCCTATATTCGAATTTTGTTTTCCCCATTTCTCTTTTTCCTATAAAAAAGAAAAAGAAAAGAAAAAAGACACATGTTAAAAGACACCAAACTAGTTTTCTTATTAACTTTTAACTTTTAACCGTTTTACCACCAGAGCTGGTTTCTTTGCCCTCTACTTCCTATACATTCTCATCTCTTTCTATTTGTGTGTAGTCACAGTAAAGATAATATTTTATATTAATTTTTTTATAAATATAATAAGATAAAAATAAATAATAATATTAAATATTAACGTAACTTAACTGTAATAGTACAAATAGAAGAAGATGAAAGTGCATAGGTGGGAGGGCAGAGAAGCCAGCTCCTTTTACCAGCCCACCTAAATTCTACACTCGTCAGCAGCGTCACACGATCCAACGCGGAAGACGAACCAAAATAAATAAATAAAATAAATTCATCTGATAAGTTTGACAGACCAAGACAATTTTAGCCCATCAGGGGAAGAAGGAGAAGAGAAGAGGAACTCAAACAGCTATCAAATCTCTCCTCTCTCTCTCTCTCTCTCTCTCTCTCTCTCTCTCCCCTGTTTTCCACCCAATCCAAATCCCAACAACCCCACTTATAATTTCTTCATATTTTTCTTAAATCATATTTAAATAATTCGCAGAAAAAAGATATACAGAGAGATATATTATACGGTGGCGGCGGTTGTATTGTAGTTCTGGTGTGGATTGAAGAGCGAGAAGAACATCGGCCGCCATGGCGATGCGCGACCTCGTTACCGGCGGAGCAGCTTGTGCGGTTCCAGGCCAAACTTCTTCCTCCAATCCTTTCGGCGCCCTCGCCAATGCCCTCATCGGCTCCTCCTCCAAGCAGCAGGTTCGTCTTCCCTTCCTCCTTTCTATCTCTCTGTATTTCGTTCGTTTCGATCAGCAATTCGGCGTCGTTTTGTTGAAATTCGATTTCTTTTGTGAGCAGGAGAGGTTGAAGGAGATACCTTCGTCGACGCCGACTGCTTCTGAGCCGCAGTTTTATCCCGACGGCCATGGACACCTGCAACAGCTCCCCGGCTCCGGGTTTGACCAGCCGTTTATGCAGCCCAGCACTCAGGTTTTACTTCCAAAGCTCCAATCTTTTTCCACTGCTTTAGTTTTACCGTTGGACTTGACTTACTTGGCATTTGTTAATTTTGCTTAATTGGCATTCGTTTTGTGTCAGAGCTCGGACTTTCTTCGGAAGTTCAACTCCGTTGATGGCAACAGACTGCTTGACAATGCGTGGGACGAGATACAGAGTTCTCAGCCCGGGCCTATGCATATGCCTCAACACGACCGCATTTATGACATGGGAGCTTCTACTCAGCTTCAACCGACTTTGGATGGTAAATTTCTCAAAGTGCTTGTCTTTGTAGTATTTACCTCATGGTTGTTGCACTTCATTCACAACCTGCTAGGATTTTCACTTCGTTCATGTTATTTGCTTTTATTAATAAGTAATGAGTGAACGACAAAAATGGCAAGATTGCTTGATCAAGAATGGATAATGGTTTCTCTGTTTATCAACATCAGAGATTAGGAGAGATGCTTGTGGCCGAGTATTTAGTTTATTTTTTCAGTTGCCGGTTAATATACGAAACAGTTCGTTGGCTCAAGTGAGCCCTCAAAGTGATCAATATGCATTTTTATTGAGATTTTATAGTTCATCCAGAAAAAGGAGAAGCTTTTTTGTGTTACTTCTCTTATTGGATGAGTTGTGTGTTGCTTATCATCTTCCCGCTTTGTGGTAGTAGTAGTACTTTTTGCTTAGCCTAAACATCTGGTCATTGCTTCTGATCATCAAACAACCAGGGGTAGTGTCTATCTTCAGCATAAAGGATTAAAAAGTTTATTTTGAGATTTATCATATTTTCTTTCCCTTCTAAATATGTGTTGCAGGGCCACCACAAAGGGTGTTGTCAAGCTTTTTGCACTCATTTGTTGAAAGTAGTCGTGGTGGAATGCCGTTTCGTCCTGCTCCACTTCCAGTGTTAGGATTGTCTGCTGGTGACAAACAATGTATACGTGATCGCACCAGCATCATGGCACGGCACTTCTTTGCTGATAAAAGTGAAGATTTTATTAATGGGCAGGTTTGAAATTTCTCTTACCTATGTTATATGTGAAATGTACTATGTTATATTTGAAATGTATCTTTTTTTCTAGTAGAAGATGTCAGCTTGGTTTGTTTTATGAGCATTCAATTGTACATTTTTTCAGCCTCATTATCATTTTTTGCTTGTCTTCGGGGTTTGTTTCAGAATTTTGTATCTTGAGTTGCTCCACTTCTCTCCAAAGCGATTCATAGTCTCAACAGTTTATGTTAATTTTGTTATTTTTATCTTTCCAGGTAAATGCACTTTTATCTTCTTTAGATATTGACAGTGATGTCAATACTAAAGGACCTCTGCCTTCAAGGTTTCGGGAACTAGACGATTATTGGAATGAATCCCAAGCTATAACAAAACCTGGTGCTCACGCTGCACAAGGGTGGGTCACTGAATTTAGCCAACATAGGGTAGACCATGGTGATCCTAATTCATGGGCTCACTCATTTGAGCGACAACATGGTGCCAATGGTTGGGCTTCTGAATTTGACCAGGTAAAGGAGTATTGTAACTTGTATTTCAATCATATTCATTGTTTCTATACTTTCTATTGATCAATCATTGACCTTCATAATGTGATGGGGAATGACACTAGGAACTAATTCTTGCTATAATTGATTTACTAATCAAGGAGGTTGGAAAATGTGTGCTTGAGTTAAAATTGGTGGTGGCAATATGTTAGGTTTTTTAGGGTAAGTTACAATATTCTGGGGTTTGAGGGTTTTAGGTGTCAATGTATCTGAAGGTTTTTTAGGGTGATTTACAGTATTCTTGGGTTGGAAAATGTTTGGGCTGGAACCAGGGGCCTTGTTCGAGATGAAGATAAAAGAGCCCTCAAGATGTTTTTGAGGTTTCGAACACGTGATACATGGTGGAGTATGCTTGTAATATAAAGAAGCACCAAAAAAAATTTAACCTAAGGGGAATAGAAAAGAAAAGAAAAGTAGAAGAATGTCCGAGTTCTGGGCTCTTAAATACGCTAGACTTATCACCTTAATTTGGGTGCATCACACTATTGTATGTGAGTTGACCTTGAACTGAAAGAGTAAGACCATGTTTATATGCTGCTTGATACCCCGTTGTAACATGATTTGGATTTCAAAACTATAGTCAATTTAAATTTATATGAGAGCTATATTGATGCATAATTTTCTGTTTCGCGTGGTTACAGGAACAGTCCCAGTTGATGTCTGCAGATCATATGAGAGGTGTAAATATGGCAAGCTTAGCTGCAATGGAGCAAACTCGGATGCTTGCAAATACGCTAGCACAGAATGAAGACCCAAAGTTTCAGGTTTATAAACGTTCTTCAATCATGTGCTTCTGTAGTTTCCAAGACTGAATTAACCTTTTTTTTATTTCTGAATACCACATCAGCAAATTAGTTTTGGAATCAAGCGTACTCTTTCCAAGCTTTTGCACGCCTTGTAATTGGCTTATCTTTTTTAGCTGAACCCATTGAACTGCAATAGTCACTGAATTTAAGATCATTGTAAATGATGACTAATGTTTGTAATATGTCATTTTTACACAATTTTTTTTACTTTTAGTGCTTCTAAGTTTAAAAAACATAGAATTCACGAGGATGATTCATCATGCAAAGTCCCATAAAATTCTCATGAAATGCTCCAAATTCTGTTAACTGTATTCACTTTTTAGGTGTCCTTGTTAGCTTGTGTCAACTTTCAGTTTATGTAAGCAAACGCTTACATGAATTAATCCCTGGATGTTTTGGCATTAAATAGCTTGGGGGCAGTTAATTATCATGACATTTAGTCAGAACGTTATGATGGCCCCAATTACATGTGATTTTTCCCAAATATGAAGGGTATTACTAATGATTTATTTACTTTGCATTTTGGAATTATTACTATCATATTCATATATTTACTTTTGGGGCATGTAGAAGTCAAGGTTTCTCCAGTTTGTGTCAAAAATGAGTCGTGGTGAACTCATTATTGATGATAATCAAGTCAAGCCAGCCACATCATCTGGGGACTGGGCATCAGAATATCAACAGCAGTATAATGCGGGTCCTAGTTGGGCTGATGAATATGCACGTGGCGAGGTAGGAATCTGGTCTGAATGCAAAATATTGTTTCCCTACTTTTATATTCCCTTTCAGTATCTGAAATATACCAACACATTTTGAGATAATTTTTCCTATTTGTACAAGTGATTCTACCAAATTACTTATTTTGGGGTGTTGAGGTGAGGTGTTCATGGTTCTGGTTTACGAATGATATGAAGAAGGGTGGCATGACTTATGGTGTGGGATGACACATAAGAGAAAATGGGAAGTGGTTTCCTTGGACCCTTTTCTCCCATGCACAACCCTGTTTATTTTGGGCCTTTGGATTGAATAAATCATAGGAGAATCAATTACAAAAATAAACAGGGGTGTAAAAAGCTTATTCATACAAAAACTAATGTAACTGAATAGGTGATTGTATTTCAAATGCTATTAAATTTTTGCACATAAACAAAGTTTAACATACACAATACTACGAAATTAAGAATATGCTTCTATATCTTGAAGCGATCGAGCTTGTTTTGAAGTGGAAAAAACCAAAGATATTTACAAAATAATAAAATAAAATATTTGATTGTAATGCAACAAGGCCAGACATTCATATTTGAAGGAAAATGAAACCATTTATAAACTTTTTTGTTGGTAAGTTGGTGTCACAATTGGAGTATAATACTGATTTACACGATCCTTCTATAAGGTACCAAACTCATATATAAGCTTTTATTTTTAATACCTTAATTTGTTATGCAATGAGTTCACTTCGGTTCCAATTTCTGCTGTCTAATTATGATGGTTTTCCAGCTATCTCATGGAACCAATCAATGGGCAAATGAGTTTACTTCTGAACAAGAGCAGCATGGGTCAGTTGATGATCAGTGGGTCAATCAGTTTTCTAAGTTGCATGTTGATGACTGGGCAGAGGAATTTGGAAATCAGGTTGGTGAAGGACTCTTGGGGGACAGTTCAGCTGATACCTGGGCTAATGCATACGATGAGTAAGTCAAATCGTTCTTTTAAAAAAAAAAAAAAAAAAATGTTTTTCTACTTTATGAGCTTTACATTCTACTTTGTAGAAGTTGGTATGATATATAATCCAATAGCTAATGAATTTGTGGCATATATTTGTAAAGTCCACAACAGTAACCTTGGTCACATTTGGTGCCTAGTGTTGGATTAAATTAGATAACATACTAGATTCAGGTATGTTAGTTGAAGTAAGAAATGAAGGCGAATTTCTAAATTTTTTCCAAGGTGAAATAATTATTTGAATTAGTTATACGGTGTTGATATCTACCATTTTGTGGGGTATTGAAAGGGACAAGTTGGACAAAAGGTGGAAGTTGGCCTCCATTTCTTCCTTCCATACCTTGAATCTAATGAGTTATTCAATCAAATCCTAGGTACTAAGCGTGTCCCTTAAGTTTGCAGTTATTTCAATTAAGTGAATCATGCATTTCTGTTGTTGGTTTTGGTGTGCACATTGACACCTATTGCTGAAACGAATGTATCTAATGACTTTAGTACTGGAAATTCAAGTGATGAAATGTTCAAATATTGGTCCCTTTTAAGCGTCATTCAACTTTCTTTATTGCAAAAGAGGTAAACTTGAGTAATGAAGAGTGGATTTTGCAGTTCATGAGCATGGGCTTTGTGAGATTCCCCGCTCTCTTGTTTCTTCTTGTATTGTTACCAACTTTGTATCCTATCATTTTAGATCAAAAACAGAAAAAAGATTTGTATGGATACTTAATGGGTTTGTCAACTTATATGTCTGTCTGTTTGAGATATTTTGAGTAATAAATGTTGCTCCAAGTCCTCATTCATCAAAGGGGTGTGTTATTACTCACCTTTTATGGTATTCATTATTTAGTTCCTTAAGGCAACTTACCTTCCTTACACAACAAACAGGTATGTTAATGAGCAAGTAGCTACTAAACAGCATAGTGATGCTGCAAGGGGAGTTTACGTATTTTCCGATATGAATCCATATGTTGGTCACCCAAACCCACTAAAAGTAGGCCAGGAAATGTTCCACAAGGGTCTTCTGAGTGAAGCAGTGCTTGCATTAGAAGCTGAAGTTCTCAAGAACCCTGACAATGCTGAAGGTTGGAGGCTACTTGGAATAGCGCATGCAGAAAATGATGATGATCAACAGGTAATCCTACTATCTTGATATTTACTATCTAGCGTTTAGAAATTGTATACTTGTGGTATATTCCATGTAAGTTTATAACCCTATAGCATTGGTGGTCTCCGTATAGTCGTACTATATGCTTTAAGTCAAAGAATCACCTCATTTCAACCCTGTGTCTGACTCGTACATGTGTTTCAGTGTGTGTTTATTTTTATGGAATGACAATTAATGTCCTCAATTGTAATCTTTGCAGGCTATAGCAGGTATGATGCGTGCACAGGAGGCTGATCCGACAAATCTCGAAGTGCTTCTTGCTCTCGGAGTGAGTCATACAAATGGTCAGTCGTTCTTTCTGCATGTATAAGAAAATAGCAGAACCTCATTTGAGTAATCATTGGTTGAACATTCTTTAAGGAATTGATCAATGTATCGAGTCAGTGACACCCCTCAAATACATAAATCTGTATATACATATATATATGTATATGGTTTTTTCTGTTTGCCAAAAAATGTGGTCTTTTTCTTTAGAATCAAAACTCTAGGAACCCAAGAAAATACTTCTTTGAAGTACTGAAGAACTGATATGACTCTTCAAATTGCAGAACTGGAGCAGGCAGCTGCTTTGAAATATTTATACGGATGGTTGCGCCATCACCAAAAGTATGGGGTGCTTGCCAAACCAGAGCTGTCTGATTCCTTGTACTATGCTGATGTAAGTGTTCACTTTTAGAATCTTTATAGTTTTGTGGGTCCTAATATTCCAGATATATTCAGCAGAGGATATTTTCTTTTCCCGAAATTGGTTTTTAGTGCATATTAGATTCAGGTTTGAGTTGCTTACTGTTACCCCTAAGCCTATATAGGGTATGAATAAAACTTTAATGTGCAGGTAGCGAGATTATTCAATGAAGCTGCTCAGATGTCACCTGATGATGCTGATGTGCACATAGTACTTGGTGTGCTTTACAACTTGTCAAGAGAATTTGACAAAGCTATTGAGTCATTCCGGACAGCTTTGAAACTAAAGCCGCAAGATTACTCACTTTGGAACAAGCTTGGAGCAACACAAGCAAACAGTGTTCAGAGTGCTGATGCGATACTGGCTTATCAACAGGTAATTTGTGTTATCAACCCTTACAGGGTTTCGTCTTCCTAAACTACCTTATATGGAAAAGGGCAGATGAATCCTTGCATTTGAAAGACTGAATGTAGGACAAAATAGTCACCTTAGTCACTGTAGCAATACGAAACTGTCTGCCATTTATAATACTAATATGAGCTTTTGTTAGTGAGTGTTAAGCAAATTGTTACTCATATGGTTCTTGAACTAGCTGCTTTCCAACATTGTTCAAAGACGAGTTTACAATTTTTCTGCAGCACTTATTGTCATTGCTTGAGGATAGAATGTAACAATAGTTTTATTTACATCTTTCCTTATTTATAAAGTAAACAATTCAATGTTTTTTATTTATAATTATTACTTATGTTCCTTTTGTTCCTTTCAATGGGCTTCAGTGCCTTTCAATTATATAGACTACGTGATAAATCGTACAATTTTATTACTATAGTGTGCATATTTGTATTTCTGTGTTTAATCGACTTTCGTGAATATTTTATCTTATCGACTTTGGACTAACTTTTGTTTTTGGTTCTTTATCTGGGTGTACAGGCACTAGATTTGAAGCCTAACTATGTTCGTGCATGGGCAAATATGGGCATCAGTTATGCCAACCAGGTTTATCCCTCCACTGATTCATGCTTAGTATCGCTTTGAAATTTTAGACGGGGAATGAATTTTACTTTTTCCTGCCTTGTTTTGAGTTTGAATGATGTTTTGGTGTGAAACTTCAGTGCTGAGAGAGCACATTATCAGTCCGTGATTTTAATTATTCATGTGGGCATGAATTTCGAACTCTTAGGATATTGTCTCCCAGTGTCTTAAATTTGCTATTCACAACAGTGCCTGAGCCGTCACTTATTTTGCCCTTTTGTTTTGCAACTAGGGTATGTATGAGGATTCCATACGTTACTATGTCCGAGCACTGACCATGAATCCAAAGGCAGATAACGGTTGGCAATATTTAAGAATTTCTTTGAGGTAAGTTAATATCAAAGTTGGAAAAATCTGTCGCCTGTCTCTGCGATATACCTACTAATTACGTAAGTATTCTTGTCTTTGTTGCAGCTGTGCCTCTAGGAATGACATGTTAGAAGCTTGCGATTCTCGGAATCTAGATGTTCTCCAGAAAGAGTTTCCATTATAGAACATAAATTTATTTCAGGTTGCCGGATGAAAAACCAAAATATGCAGCCTCTGGTGCTCCTGCCGATGCAGTGATTGTAGAGAACATTCACGTTTATGGTTCATCCTCTGGTGCTCCTTGGCAAAGTTTGCTGGTTTTGGTAAACATTATCCGACAGAGGCGTAACTCGGAAGAGCGAGTGGGGCCAATAAGAACTCATCGAAATGAAATAAGTTTCAGCACTTCGAAAATAAATCGTCAATGTGTAACGTTTCTTATGTATATCTGCTGTAGTTGTTTTGGCCATACTGTTTGAACTCATGATTTGTCAAATCTTTAAGATATTTCAGTATAAAGTTGAGAGTACTCTGCTAATTTCGCCTCTTTAAGAGCTGTTATTCCTTGAAGACGAAGGTCCTGTGTTCGAATCTTTTCTTTTTCAAGTTTCTCTTTTAAATAAAATACTATAATGCCTTATTCTACTAAGTGAGGTCGGCTGTATAAATTTTAGAATTTTTTATTGAGCTCGGTTTTGGTCCAAGTCTTCTGTTAGCTTTTAAATATTTCATATTTTTCCATAGCGTCTCTTTCTCAGTCTTGTTAGGTGCTCATGTCCTTTTGCTTTGAGTCTTAGTCTTACAATAGCTTTCATTTTTAGGTAAATTACACAAAACTACCTCAACTATAGGTCACACCACATTTTCATACCTCATGTTTTAAACATTGCAATGTCATACCTCAACTTATGAATTCATTGCAATGTCATACATTCGTTAGTGATTCTGTCAAATTGGTCGTTAAGTGATGATTTAGCAAATGAAGGGCCCATATATTCACTGACGTGGCAGTCCACTTGTGCCATTCAGAAATTATATATAAAATAAATCATTAAAAAAAATTTGGCAAAAATTAAATTTAAAAAAATGGGCTCGCCCCCTTCAAATAACTAAATCCACCTTGGTACTTGCCCGGGCCCGGGCCAGGGCCAATTTTTCACGTGTATGTGCACATCGCACCATACGCTCACTTTGGATCCATTGTAAGTGTCAATCATGTCCTAGATTGCTATAGGCAATTAGGACACGTATGTGCTGCGCATAGCTCCAGTCTTCACGTGATTGTAGTACTAGAGCGTATATCATTGTTACATGCAGTCATGTTCATGTCAGAATACCTCTGCATGAACTCGTGTGTTAGCATGTGTCGATAAGCACTCAATATGATACTTGGTTTATGCGAGATTATGTGATTATGGACATCAAGCGCTTATTTACGAGATATTGTGCCGTATTGAATTTTTGAGATATTTCAGGCTATGGTAAGTATTTTCATAGTAGACCTAGTGTGTATATTTTGGAAACTATACTTGTTTTACGGCGAGGAGTTATAAAATTAAAAGGTTTTTATAAAACTTTATTTTTAAACCCACTCACCCTTGTTTTTCGCCCCTCCAGGTTTTAGGAGCTGAGTTTTCGTATCGACGAGGATTCTTGGCAAATTTGATATTGGAGACTAGCTTCGATGGTATAATTCTCAATCCATTCCATTGTAATTTACTTATGCTCTAACATCACGTGTGATATGAGTTTATTCCTGCTCACCAGCGCACTCTTATACTTAGGCACGTTTAGGGTTAAATTTACTCACATTTTCCACATCACTATACATTATGGCTTTATCACCCTCCTGATGTCGACCAGCACAGCTCGATTCGTAGTCCAGGTGGACATTCTGGGTCGGGATGTGTCAGGAAAAATGTGGGTTATAACTCTGTTTTTGTGAAAAAATTGAAATTTTTAGTTTTAGGAAATATTTTGCGCGAGAATTAACGGAAATATTGCAAGACCTTTGTATGTGATTGTATCCTTTATTAGGTCTGGAAACTATTTTCCATTGATTTTTAAAGTTATAGAAAAAATAATGAAAAGTAATAGTGCCCCCCCACCACCCCCCCCCCCCCAACAACCACACAAAAAAAAGATTTGTAGGTGTTTGAAATCTTAGGAATGTCTTGAATTAATTTTAAGAAACATGCGGTGCGTGTACGATGACTCTAACTTTAGTTTATAATGAATGTTGTAAAAGTTCTCAAAATCAATCAAAAAAATTGTACTTTTAGCTTTGTGAAATATTTTGCGTCGGATTTCAAAAAAATATTATAAGACCTTTGGACTTGATCCTACCATTTATTAGGTCCCGAAACTATTTTTTATTGAGATTTAAAGTTTGAAAACAGAAAAATATCTTTAAATTTAAGTTTTAAATAGTTGATTTCAAGTGTTTAAATATGAATTATAATAAATTTTACACAGATAAATATATTTTAAAAAATATGAATATGATAGTTTGTTGGTATGAGAAGGGAAACAAAAAAAAATTAACAAAAAAAATTAACAAGAAAAAAATTGAAAATGAGGGATCGGTTTGAAGCTATCGACTTTACTCCAGTTCAGTTGCTAAAGTGCCAACGACTGCCTTATTAAAGAATCGGTAGCAAAGTCTAGATCGTATCCTTTTCTATTTTTTTTTTCATTGAATTTTTTCTCTTTCTACGTTACTTATCTAGATTCAAATACCTTTAGATTTTAGATTTAGATTTATATCTTTGTTTTCGATTTTTTAGGAATGGATTTATATTGTTTGTTATAACTCACAGTTTTTTTTGAAAAAAAATTGAAATTTTTAGCTTTATGAAATATTTTGCGTCGGATTTCAGAAAAATATTGCAAGACATTTGGACTTGATCCTACCATTTATTAGGTCTCGAAACTATTTTTTATTGAGATTTAAAGTTTGAAAACAGAAAAATATCTTTAAATCATTGATTTCAACTGTTTAAATATGAATTATAATAGATTTTACACGGATAAATATATATTAAAGAACACGAATATGATAGTTTGTTGTTATGATAAGGGAAACAAAAAAAAAATATTAACAAAAAAAAAATGAAAAAAAAAATTGAAAAGGAGAGATCGGTATGAAGCTAGCGACTTTATTCCACTTCAGTTGCTAAAGCGCTAACGACTGCCTTAATAAAGGATCGGTAGCAAAGTCTAGATCGTATCCTTTTCTATTTTTTTTTTCCATTGAATTTTTTTCTCTTTCTACGTTACTTATTTAGATTCAAATACCTTTAGATTTTATATTTAGATTTATATCGTTGTTTTCGAATTTTTAGGAATGGATTATAAGAAAAAAAAATTTAGGAATGGATTTATATTGTTGGTTATAACTCACAGTTTTTTTTGAAAAAAATTGAAATTTTTAGCTTTATGAAATATTTTGCGTCGGATTTCAAGAAACTATTGCAAGACCTTTGGACTTGATCCTACCATTTATTAGGTCCCGGAACTATTTTTTATTGAGATTTAAAGTTTGAAAACACAAAAATATCTTTAAATTTAAGTTTTAAATCGTTGATTTCTAGTGTTTAAATATGAATTATAATAGATTTTACACAGATAAATATATTTTAAAGAACATGAATATGATAGTTTGTTGGTATGGTAAGGGAAACAAAAAAATAAATCGAAAAGGAGGGATCGGTATGAAGCTAGCGACTTTAATCAAGTTCAGTTGCTAGATTGCTAACGACTGCCTTATTAAAGGATCGGTAGCAAAGTCGAAATCGTATCATTTTCTATTTTTTTTTCCATTGAATTTTTTCTCTTTCTACATAACTTATTTAGATTCAAATACCTTTAGATTTAGATTTATATCGTTGTTTTCGAATTTTTAGGAATGGATTATAAGAAAAATAAAATTTAGGAATGGATTTATATTGTTGGTTATAACTCACAGTTTTTTTGAAAAAAAATTGAAATTTTTAGCTTTATGAAAATATTGCAAGACATTTGGACTTGATCATACCATTTATTAGGTCCCGGAACTATTTTTTATTGAGATTTAAAGTTTGAAAACAAAAAAATATCTTTAAATTCAAGTTTTAAATCATTGATTTCAAGTGTTTAAATATGAATTATAATAGATTTTACATGGATAAATATATTTTAAAGAACATAAATATGATAGTTTGTTGGTATGGTAAAGGAAAAAAAACAAAAATTTACAAAAAAAAATTGAAAAGGAGGGATTGGTATGAAGCTAGCGACTTTACTTTAGTTGCTAGAGCACTAACAACTGCCTTATTAAAGGATCGGTAGCAAAGTCTAGATCCTATCCTTTTCTTTTCTTTTTTCCATTGAATTTTTTTCTCTTTCTACGTTACTTATTTACATTCAAATACCTTTAGATTTTAGATTTAGATTTATATCGTTGTTTTCGAATTTTTAGGAATGGATTATAAGAAAATTTTCACTGGGAATACATCTCGTAGAATATGAAGATGATAGTTTGGTGTTGTGGTATGAGAAAAATGAAAATTTAATAAAGTACGAAACTGTTATTAGCACTCCACAAATTTCATTCTACACTCCTCACAGGTGTATTTTTCTTTTTAATTATAGAAAGTTTGGAGTACAAAATGAGATTTTTGAAGTGCCAATAACAATTCCCATGAAATAAATCATAACATAAACAAAATTAATGGTTTGGCATAGGGAGACATGCCCTAAACGTCACGTCGAAGCCCAAACTCATCCCGAGAACTCATGCCCTCGAGAAGGCCCAAGGCGAAGAAGATGCAGTGGAGGCCCATGAGGTTTAGGGTTTAGGGGCGTGTGAATAGTAACGTCCTGAGTTCAAGTGTTTAGGGCCGTGTTAATAATATCTCCCTGAGTTTGATGCATTTCGGCACCCATTGCACTTGAATTTTTTCCCTCGCCGCAGCGTGGTAGAGAAACGCTTTTTCTAAAGACAGGGTTACTATTAAAACTTACGACTTTGGTGTGAATTCTATCATAGTTGATAGTGGCTTATAAATACCACACCCCCGACAACAATGCTTCGTCCGACAATCCATGGTTCTAGTCAGAGCATCTGTAGGTCTTCGGTTACATGGCCAAACATCTTGACCAATTGTCTCTCATTTTATTTTCAATTGCGATCAGTCCTATTTTACATTGGATATCCTTGTTCTAAATCATGTATTTTCTTGTTCTATTTTTATAAATTTATCTCAAATTTGCATACCCCAAAGTTATATAATAGTGGAGTTATACGAATTCATCTGTTAGATTTTTCTTGAATTCTACGGGCACATTCATCTGCTTAACAATCTTTGCTGGAGGAGGATTCTCTACCCTCTTATTCTCATCCTCTTCTATCCCTTATTCTCACATATTGTTTTTTGTCTTATTATCTCTATAAAAAAATCAATATAAAATATTGACGTAGGTTTAACCGTAACTATTCAAATAAAAAGAAATTGAAAATTAGAGAGATTAGGAAGATAGAAAATCCTCGTCCTTCTT